AACATTTCAGAATTAATGTTTTCATTACAGATGGCAATACAAGCCCCAGCACCTTTAGATATGTGATCATCTCCACTGTTATGTTGGCTTCACACAGATTCTGTCCCTCAACATGACAATTTGATGTAGGAGTRGGCATTGTAGTTGTTGAGGGGGAATTTGCAAAAGGGATGATGGAGAAAAGCCTATGGAAATCACAGCAAATAAATGCAGGTTGGCAGGGGGGCTGAAACAGGCTGATAAATGTATTGGATAGTAAATTTCAAATAGCACATATTCATCTGCTCCCACTAATTTAGCAGGAGTTGCTGCCTCAGAGATGAAGTATTGCTATTAAGGTGGCAGCTGGAATACCATCAGCATCCCCTTGCTGATCCTGCACACATGCACACTGCCCTCATCTCTCAGAGCTGTGCCCTGGCACAGTAGGACACACACTATGGAGAAAGAGCAGAACTGCTGGCAGTCACTCAAACCTCCCACCTGCTCACGGGGAGTGTTTTTAGTGCAATTGCAAATGAAAATCATGGTGATTCCAGGACCAAGTCTGTAGTTGATAATGATTAAACTACAGCTACTATTGAACAGGCAAATTGAGATTTGGGGACAAACTGTATCTCTCCACAAGACAACCCAGACAAGGACTGACAATACGCATGTGGATGTGCAGGAGGCGAAAGCTGGCTTATTCCAGCAGTGTAATTCTGCTACAGCCATTTGCTGTCCCAGGAGATTCGTGTGTATATGGGTCCATGTACAGGAAATACAGATGGAACTATTATTTTTGACAAGACCTGGGACCAAGCAGTCCAAAGGAGAAAACAAGAAGTATACAAAGTGACTTGAAAATAGATGTAYAGCTGTAGAACTTGTTGTAACAACTGCTGCTTACCTGATGGGTGTAGGGATGCTGGAGTGGGTGTGTGTAACAAAGGGCAAAGTCTGCATGCAGGCAGGACAAAGGTCACAYCTCTGGCTGCTGTGCACGTGACAGAATACCCAAATGAGCAGGATTCAGGCAAAGCTGACACAGGTGGATCAGCTAAAACATTTTTAGGCAGCCATCCTTTTAACACTCTAGTGTGGACAACAGTTGTGCTGGCCAAGAGGGATTAATTTTTGTTTTAACCTCCAGGAGCTCATCATCTTCCTCTTGCTGCTGCCAAATGCAGTGTGTTAAAAGACCTTTTCAGAAACTCATGTAGCCAAAGCTTTCAGGGAATCCAAAGCAAATGTAATATAAAAACACAGGAGGAGGAGGAGGTGGGGGGAAAAATGACAAATCAATGCTAGAATGAATTTAGCTTAGTTTTAGCTCAGACTCTTTCCTCCAAGTCTTGCATTTATTTGCTCTTTTGAAAAGCAGAGAGATGAGACTGAGTGTTTCAGGAGTCAACAATGAACCTTTCATTAAGCTGGCATCAAGCAGCAGTGCTAATCATGCAGGCCCCTTTCAAAGGAAGATACAATGCTGTTTTTCTTTATTTTTTAGGATTTTTTTAAGGATTAGCTCTTTGCTTCAAAGAGATCCTGAACAATCGAAAAACACCCCAAAATTTTCAAGTGTTCCAKCAAGAACCCTAAGAAGAGCTCCTTCTGGAGCTGCATCTCTGATACAGAGGATGACTTCAATACTTTGCATCAGAGATATAATTTTTTTTTTCCTAAAAATCTTTCAATTAAAATTTGGGTTTCCACCCTCCTTGAGCATGCTGGCAGAGGGAAGGAAAGTGTCTTCTGCAACTCCAAAAAGAATAAAGGGAACTAAGCAACAAGGAAACAGTGGGTATTATCTGTCCTTTCACGTGAAGGGAGAGCCACAGACAGAAGTAGGTCTCTATAATTTTATTCTCATTACTTACAGAATCACTGCACCATGCTACAAGTTATTAACTCACAGCATCCTACTGCATGGTATTGGCTTTGCCCAAACCTAGCAGGAAGGAATGTTCTGCTTACGGTTAAACCATAAGCCATCAACACTTGCTACTATGTGAAGAACAAAACCCTTCTGTGAGAGGATGCAGTCATCATCATCTTTAAAAACTATATATAATTTCAGTAATCTCTTCCTAATGCTTCAGATGCACATATTGAATTTGGAATCATTTACAGTTAGTCTTACAAAGTTCTGCTTGTTTTTCTTCCAARGAAAATAGCAGCATATTGCAAAATAGCAAGGTCCAGTAGCAAAATATGTAGTTATTACTAAATAATCCATCAAAAATGTCTTATTATGATGGTCCCATTTAACTTMTTTGCATATAACATCTGTTGCAGAATTGACTCAGACAAACTCTACAYAGATACAGTCACAAAGCAAAATGGTTTTCTGTAGTACCAAGTAAAAAATTTGRTGCTGTTTGGCAAATAAGTGTCTGCCTCTTTACTATTCTATGATCTGATCTGACTTGAAGAGAAAGGCAGATGTGATTGCTAAGCACTTGTCACTTTGCATCCTCTGCCTCCTGTTTTCATACCTTCTTTCATCCTGACTCAGCTTCAGAGTGGAAGATGAGGCATGCGGAGTTTATGGGAAGGTGTGTGAACAGAATCATAGAAGTGATGTTCAAAAGCCCCACAGCCCAACGACCACAACAGGTAAATTGTGTCTGCATTGTTTCAGTTAACTGAAGAAATAGCCTGTCACTTGTAAAATACAAGGTGGTCATCATCCACATTGTAATCTGCTTGAACTAATAATATGCAGGGACTTGCAAGAACAACAGTGCTGATGTTTTTTTGTTTTTTTTTTTTTTTTCCTGTGGGGAGTACTGAAAAGCCAAAAAGAGGAACATTCAAGCAGAACTCCTTTCAAATGCCCATGCTGCACATGCTGACTGCCTCAACAAAAAAGAAAAATAAATGAAAATGAGGAAGAGTCCTTCTCACTGATGTATTTCAGGACCATTATTTAAGAGTGGCTCTTTCCAGCAGCAGTAAARTTTGTTCTCCCAAAATAGATGCTGATAGTGAGAAAGCCCACTATTGCACCAGTTCACCATGCAAAATGTGCACTGCAAATACTTTTGAACAGTTTAATCTTATGCACTTTTCCCACTGTGGTTCCTTGTGCAGTAAAGTTTGCACAGACACAATCTTAACTAAGCATAATTTTATGAACTGGTCATACTAAAATTATATCCTTACACAGCAGCTCCTGCCACCACAGCTTTTGTCTTGAACCACACATATTATTTTTGTTCTGTATGAAGAATTCTAACCAGGTATCTGAGTAACGAGACAAACATCTGGTGCCAATAAATGCAGTTCATTTTAAATAGTGCAGTCTTAAATGTTTCCATTGGTTTTTTAGGCATAGAAGTTTCCAGAAGAGTACGAATTTATTTCCAGCATGAACTGGCTCCAAGCTCGGTGTTACATTAAGGGATTACTTTGCTTAGACCTTCACTTGGCTGTTCCTCTSATGACTGACAACATCAGTAACTACAATACAACAAAGAGAATGTTACTACAATTTGTCAGGGCACTTAACTGTCTACACATCAACTGTGAGGACAGGTGCTGTCAGATATTTCACTGGAACACTTCTTGGAGTCTGTTATAAAATCCGTATTTTTATGACACAGTTAATATCAGTTTTCCTCCCTGGTGAGTCTTTGTACTGAAATAATCATTGTRAGATTAAAAGAAGTGCTTTTATCCTCTAGAGATTTATATCTAAGTTGTAGTATAATCACAGAAGGAACTGCTGATTACAGAATGAACAGAACACCACASTGAGTATAAAGCTAAATATAAAGAGGATATTGTATTCACCAGGCCAGGTGATTACAATTTGTCCAAAAGAAAAGTCATGCAAAATTCAAGTTTTGAATATATTTATCACCTCCCATTGAGTAGATAAGAGCAGCTAATAGYGCTTTTGGACAGCTGGAATTGCACCAGGACTTTTTTCAGGGTGTTGCCTGTGCACTATTGAAGAGCAGTTCATGTTCTCAGATCCCTCACGTTACAGATGTGCTGCTGCTCAATGAAGATGTGGGAGCTGCTTCGAAAGAGAAATAGGTGCACAGCAACATTCCTAGGCAGTTCTTACTTTTCTCTGAAGCCCTGGCTCACATCAAGTCATAGGTTTGAAACGGGATGAAAAGGCAGAGCTGTTTTATGTAACTTACCTTTATAGAACACAGCCATTTTGTTCAAGAACCATGTAGTTTTATAATTGAAAGTACCATATGAATTTGAGGGGGGAAAATGGGTGGATGTGTCCCACAAATCAGGCACAATTTCAATGCCAAACCATTTTCAAAATTGTTTTTAAATTATTAGTTTTACTTTCTGTCTCCCTCCAATACAGAAAATTGTGGGGCTTTTAATCAGCCTTGCGTTTTTAGCATTTAAATGATTACAAAATAACAGTTATTCCCCTGTTCATCCATTATGAATATAGCCCATTCTGATTTGGAATGCTGCTAYGCTAGGTGAAGCTGTCAAAGTGCATGAAAGAACATTTAAGACATTTCAATGCCAGTGATACAGTGTACAGTATGCATTTGACTTGAAGAGTATGCACAACCTAATTATTTGATTACTGTATCTAACCTCAAAGTTAAATGGACTGAACTGGTTACAGTGCTTATAAAACAAATCCCTAAATTCAAATCCAATAGAAATACTATCATTCCCTTCCAAACCTGCAGAAAATCCTGTTCACTCTTCACCAATTGTAAATGCAGCTTGAAGTTAAGCTTAACTTAAACCTAACCTTGTTTTTAACCCATTCATATTTCTTACTTGAATTTACAGTAGAAATGGTGCAAAATAGCAAGACCTGTTGGAATAGGCAGAAAGGAATTCAAACTTTAATCTGATCGGTTTAATTTTTTTTTAGCATGAGGAAAAAGAATAAAGTTACAAGATTCTTTTAATATTTTCACAATGTTAAACTAAAACTGAGCTCTAGGCTACATGTGTAAGTAAATCTAGAACACAAAAGGGTTAAATAAGATCTTCTTTTAAGATACAAGAACTTAAGCTTTCTTTACGTTTAACAAACTTCACAGAACAGATACTGCAAAGGAACAACCCCCTCCCCAACTTTTTGTTTAAAGTGAACATTGTCCATAATTCACATGAACTTTAAGTAGTGTCCTCTCAAGAGCCACCTTGAAACCATCTGTGCACTTGTAAGGAGATTAAAGAGATTATTAAGGAGGAACAAATAGCATCTTCAGTATTAATGCAGAAAAGTCTTGTGTATCAATCAGAATGCCCATCAAATGCTAGGATAGGATTTTGTAGGAAAAGAAAGTGCGTATCACAGCAGCTGCCAAAATCCATGTTTTTTTTTTAACTCCTCACGACAAATATAAGTAATATCCTTGGACAGTCCCTCTCACCAGGACCAGTTCCTGAAAATGCAGCCCATTACAGAAGCTTTTTCTGCTGGCTTCATATTCTTGAATAACAACAAGGAAGAAAAACAGCTTGCCTTCCAGACAGCTTGCRTTTACAATGATGGGACACTTCTGATTTGCTTCATGGTTAATTAATGCTAATACAGTCAGATGCTGAGTGTGTGTGTAGAGAGACATATATATATATATGCATGTATTTTTTGTTTAATTAGTTGTCTCCTTGTTAAATGTTCCTAACTGGCTACCAAAGTAACAGTATAATTTGGCCTATAAGGAGTTAATTACCTGTAACAAGTAGAATGGAGGATGACTCATACAATCTGGGGTTTTTCAAGTGACACGTTACTTCACCCCACTGATGTTTCAGATCTGCCCAGTATTTGACAATGAGACAAAGTCTTTCCCTCCCTCAGGTTTCCTTACAAATTTACCCACTTGTTAATAACTTACTAATAGACTGAGAAGTTAAACTCACTCAGGATTAAGCTGGGCGACATCAGAACGAATCCTTTTACCTGCATAAGCCCTGTGCGGAGCAGGAGACAGCCCGATTGTGATGTCTGCTTTTATGTTTCCAAACTGGCAAAGCTGGTGCAGTTCGGCTCAGCTCAGCGTGACACAACCGTAACACAGAACCACGGGTCTAACCGGATCCGGAACGTTCTATCCAGGTWATGCTTTTCACATCCACTTGCTATACTTGCTTTGCGGGCAGGGATTTTCATGGGCGTGTTCAGCTGCATAGAAGGAGGGCTGGTGGAGCCCCTTTGATTATCTCATTGACACTCTGAATGTGAGGAACACAAACTCATTCTGACAAAGGGTGCTTTGTTCTACAGGTTGTTCCCCAATACTGTTACTGAATTCCGTTTGCTACAAAATGTCCTTTTTTCCCCAATATGTAAGTCTAGCTACAGAAAGTCAGTCTGTAGAATCCAGCCATGGCTACTGTGCTGTGAATTAGCCTTATTTGATCAATTATCAGATACCTGCACTTAGCAAAAGGCAAACAAGAGCCAATCAGGTTTCGGCCGGTGGGAATGGCTGCACTGCTCAAGGTACGTGGAATCTGTTCACACAATGTGTAGAATATCATTGGATGCCATGTAAAAAGTATGCACCATTTACTGCTCCAGGATGGAGTTGGCTTTAAAGAGAGATCATAATTTAACAGAGAAGAAAGAAAAAAAAAAGACCAAAAAAAAAATCAAAAACAAAAAACCAAAAACAACGAAACCCTGATAGGTTATTTATAGCAAGATACATATAAAATTTTTTCATAAGAATCTCTGTCCCCCTTTCTTTTTGGCTTCCTGGAAAGAACCAGAAAGGTGTTCCTACCCCAACAGAATCCCTGATGCTGGTGACACTGCCTAACTCAAAAGCCACACGCGATGAAGGCACGAGTGACCAGTCAGGTCTTCTGGGCTTAAGCAGCTGCAGTTGCTGCTCCAAGTAGTATTTCACCTCCTCAGGATTCAGTAGCAGTGAAGAGGTGAAAGGCTGCACATTAAACAGTTTGTCTGAAAGCCAYGTGCATAGCAAACTTTTACACCAGCTTCTATACAAATAATTGTTTTAACTCTGCAGCTGGAATGTTTCCAGCATAAGGCTTTTAGAGTGACTCCAGCAATAACAGAAGCCTTTGGATTTTTCTTGCTTTGTTTAAATCCACTAGCCATACTCAAAAATAATATTTTCTTCATGTTTTATTTTTATACGGTGGCTAGCAGGCACCTTAGTAACCAGCCAGAGATCAATTTCAACCACCATCAACCCCTAAACTACAGTACCAGGACGGTTGGCTAAAGAAAGGAAACTGATTGGCTGTAGTCTGAAACTTGCCTAGTACAAGGTGTCTGGCTGACTTTGTCCTAAATAAGGCTAACATTAGTGAACTAAGAGAACAGCATTTGGTTGCAGTCTTGCACTCAGGAACATCCTTCGCCAATGCGTTGGCAAGATCTCCCTACTTTCCGATCCAGTTTCACCATTTTCATGATGGCCTCCTCGCGCCCGCGCCCCATGTGGTCAAACGTGCAGTCGTGCTGTTCGGGCAGGCGGTGCAACATGCAGAACACGTAACCTGCCACAGAGGGAGAAAAGAGACACAGTTAGGGACTGCTGGCACAGGTGGGATCTTACCTGAACCAGAAGTGTGGGATCCCCACCCACTGGAGGATTACTCAGTTTTCAAAAATTACAGCCAGTTTAAAGTTTTTACTTATCTTCCTTATAGGGTATCAAATATTTGACCATTTACTGCATTTTGTTAAGAATTTATCAACACAATACCAAAGCTCAAGTCATACTAGATTTGTGGRTTCTTTTGCCATTCTTTCATCTTGTAAGGGAAACCTCCCAAAAAKCATGTAAACTAGGTATGCCCAGATAATAACAAAGACAATGGTTTTGGGCTTTAATCACCTTCAGCAAAATCGTTCCTACTTTTAAATGGACTTTGTTGTCATTTCTGAAATTCATGCCTATGGTACTCTAGGGTGAGCTCCCAAGCAAGTATTCAAGTCAGAACTGTTAAAYTGAAGCACCTTTCTTCCTCCTCACTGCCAGTGTTGGCAGTGACTGCAGGAGAGTTCACTGCTCCTTCACTATTCCAGTCTTCAGAAGCTTCTCTCCATGAACCACTCTGACACTAACCACAGGGGAAAACAGGCATTTGACACAGGGGCATGTCATGCCACATCATTTTGCTCTGTAGCTGAGAAGATGAGGTTATTGCKTCTTTATCTAAAGCTACTTGATATTATTCATCTGTCCAGGGAGCACGTGACTTAGAACCATGTCAGTACTTTCCCTGCAGGTGAGGAGGGCACCTGCCCGAGCCATCACTTCCTAGTCTAAAAAGGAAATCAGCTTTTTTCTTCTTTGTCCCTGTAACATTTTGTAGCAGTAAAAGCAACTACTTCCAATTCCCCACCTCCAAAATGAATGTTAAATAGCAATACATAGCAGTAACAGGGCAAAGTCACACAGTTACAGAGCTCACCAGTCCACTATATACAAAACCAAGTATGGTTCATGTGGTTGCAGTCTTGCACCCAGGAACATCCTTCGCCAATGCATGTCCCTACCAGAACATATAACACCTGGGATATTTTTCCCATATAACACCTGGGATATTTTTCCCATATAACACCTGGGATATTTTTCCCATATAACACCTGGGATATTTTTCCCATATAACACCTGGGATATTTTTCCTGACTGATGGTGCAAAGAGTAACACTCTGCTTCTTACTTGCACGCTTTACATTACTGCTGATCCTCAGATGCTCCAAAGATATTAAACACACAAAATTATGATATTTGAGAGATCGAAAAAGATAAAAAGGAGTGAGTGAATGACTGACACAGTGTTTTGTGCATATATACATACACATATATGTATGAAATATGTGTGTGAGGTAATTTAAGTTCTTGGACTAAAAAGCATCAATTGCAGGAGAGAACAACATGCTACCTTTATATCAGGGTGATTGTTAGAAAAACAGGGAAAAAGTGTCTCATATGGAATTATTAAAAAAGTGAAGAAATATTGATTTCTCTTTGCTCTTTGTTTCAGTAGCACCAGACTGTGAAAAGACACAGCTATTATCTGTGGCTGGCTTTGAAACCCTGTTCTAGGAGCTAAGCAAAAGACAAGTTTTCTATATTGGTAGATAAGATTCAGACATATGGATGGAACCTTGCACATTGAAGGATCTGAAGGCTTCCCTTATTTCTTTAAATAAGATTTCAAATTGCTGAACCAATGTCCACTGCAGGTAAAAGAATATACAAATACCTGACTGTATGAGCTCAAAAATCAAGTTCATCATCTTATATGCAATGAATGTGTAACAAGCAGGTGCAAGACACTCTGAAGATATGGACTGGTAAGGTGTCTCAGTCCCTTCTAGGTAAAAACTGGTTTTAAACTTTAATGATTTTACAGATCCTCTCCAAATCTTTAATAACAAGCATATGTACAAATGCTATCTAATATTATTAAAAAAAACTTGAAAATTTATACAATCTTCTATACTGCTTCAGCAAGACTCTTTTGACAATTCTGTAAATCTAGTAAGAAAGTACATATTCAACACGATTTATCACTTTTGAATGTGACCTTTCARTTGCCCCATCTCTTCACCTTCTCTAAAGCCTTGTGCACACCAGCACAGCTTTGTGATGTTCCTTTCTATCCTGCCACCCCTAATACAATCTATCCTGTGCTTTGCCCTATCTTTATTTCATTTTTCAACACTGTTTATTTCTTTACAGAACACCTGTTTTCATGCAGGAAAATCTGTAGTGTATGCTATATTTATTCCATGACACATTATTTATCTTTTTCTGTTCATTAAAGGTTGTTTTATGCATTCTTGAACAGAATTTTAATAATTGTCCACTAAAGGATGGCAAAAAGATTTTAGTGTTCCAGAGTATGGGAATAGTATTTCTAATYTCAGTGACTAAATTATCTAAACCTGTTCTTAATATATATATWTTTTAATATGTACTGCTAATTACAACAGAAAGTATCTAATGAAAGAATACCCAAACTCATTTTAAATGTTACTAAAATAGTTTTGCATATATTGGCTGATTTATGGAAGGATGTTTATTCTGGTTGAATTAGCAATGCAGATCTGGAAGTTCCACTTTTAAAAAGAGAATTCAGTTCTTTAGTTTCATTGCTGCAAATGCCTAAGTCCCTTTAAAGATTGGAACTTGTGTTTTGTAGATTTTATTTAAATTTTAAAGGCTGTAATATAGCAGCTAATTGAGTGACAGTAGTTCTGAATGTTTTTTCCATTAGTTCAGAGTGGATATATTCAATTAAGTTACTACTGCTGTAAATTCACTCCTTGCTTCTTCAGTGGTTTGAAAATCGGAATGGACATTCTGTGGTCTGCCTGTGCACAAGTGCCTGATGTCATATCAAGGCCATCGGATTTTACAGCAGTTCCATCATTAACTTGTGTGTACTGGGGCAGAAGGCCAATAGCTGTACCTGTATTTTGATCCTTAGAGCCAATCCATACCTATAGGTGATGCCTTTTCTCATGAGAACTCTGCTTTTATGGTTATGAAGTAAGTTGGATAAATGAACTCCTGCAGTGTATTTGCTGTTAAGTTCATTATGGGATGGTATCAAGTACAGGTTTGTCTCCCCTGAAGGAATTTACTGCTGAAATACTTCTTTTAGCACACTATAACTGAAAGACAAAATAAATAACTTTCTGCTAGAGGAAAGAGCATTGGAAAAGGGAATCCATCTGCCAACTAAAGTTCATTTACCCTAGTCATCAACCTAAAACATGCCAGACTTCCACTCCCAGCACAGAAGATTTCAATCTAGTAAATGTAATAATACATCTCACAGCACTGCAATTGTTTTCTGATGTTAGAAGTAAACTATGAATCACCCACTCCTCAGGTCTCTAATGCAAACATCTTGGAAAAACATTATATAGTGCCTCAAAACATTTGAGCTCCTCTGAGCACCCTAGAAACTTCTCCACAATACATCATGAAAAAATTCACTTCCATTTCATTGCCAGAGCAAAAATGGCTAAAGCCATAAAGCAGAGCACCATCCCTGCCTTACAGATGAGTCACTCGAAGCCCAAGACTGCATACCAGCAACTATGAAGCTGCTTTCATCATCCCTGAGGAACCTGCTGGGAAAGGATATTGGAGAGAACAGAAAACAAAATAGGGTTCCATATTCCAGACCAGAGAGTTCCACAGACCCATAGTYTGTTCTGTGTGGGTAATGAAAAACAATTGCATTTTCTTCATCACTACACTCAAGAGCATTGGTACATGTTACTGTTTCTGAAAGCTCAGCCATATCAAGTATCACTGCTGACATGGAAAGACAAAACCCTTAATTACCAAGTACCATCAATCCTCTTAATTGTTCACTCTGGACATTCATGGTTTCATTGCAGGCACCAACTGCAAGGTTTAGCCTTCTATACTACTTCTATACTACTTCTATACCACTTCTATACTACTTCTATAGTGCTTTTGATTCAAATAAATTCCCACTGGCAGGTAAAAGCAAGTGAAGTCAACATTACCATAAAAACCTGAGCTCCTGATACTTAAAAGTCATCTTACCTGCCCACTGGGATTGGTATTTATCATCTTCATTCCCAAGTCAACAGGGAGAAGYTCAAAACTTTCAGAACTGTCAGAAGTTGCAGCTTACACCACTTCCAAATCTTATTTAATAAACAAACTGTGTTTGCATACACTGCAAAGACTATTAAAAAGTAGTCCTAGTAATGACACAGATATAATCCTGTGCAGAACTCTGTGCTGTGTGCTTTGACTTCTCATTCTTCACAAGATATTTTACATCTCTTGCAAATTTGAAATTCTAATCAACAGATGTTCMAACAGAACTTAAAAATACCTTGTGACTTAAGAGTTGAAGATACTGCAAAATTCTCTACCAAAGGTGTATTATCTAACAAGGTATGTGTGAATTTGTAAAGCAGMTTTCTGTGCAAGAACAGATTTTAACATCTCTTTAAACAATAAACGTATCTGAGGCTATCACACAGCACAGCCAAACCAGGCAGATGAGCCAGCACAGGTGATCAGTTCATGCTGCTGCAGCACTGTTCAGAACAACTGCACACTACCCACTGAAAGTCTAACAATCCCCAAAACATCTGTACATCTCCCCCACCTCTTCCAACTGGAATGATGACTGAATGTGTTGCAAATTATACTTACAATAAGGCTATTTATAAATAAGTGTGGGAAGGAAATATTTTTTGTTTTTTTTAAAGACATGAAATAGGTAAGAAATGAGTGGAAGAGTAGAACAAATACCTACCAAGATACAAGGCAAGATCCTTAAAGGCTTGCCTTTAGGGAACTGCAGYATGATCCAGCTTCTTCCCCTGTGTTCCAGAGATTGTTCAACAAGAACATGCAGCAATGGAAGGATGGGAACGTGCACTATAGCCCAGCCAGGCAAAGCTTCCAGTGCAGCTCATATGCACTGCTGTTTGGCAATATAAATACATTCTAGCCTGCTGATATCTTGTCAGATTCTCTTTT